AGGTGAACGACTGCCCCTTATTGAATTCAAAGGTCGTCGAGCCACCGTTAATCGGATCGGTCACGATGAACGTACCGCCGTCAGCCATCTGAGAACCACGCAGGAAGCGAAGTTCCTCAGTGTTCAGGTCGGTATTGCTGCTGAGATGACGTCCTCCGAGGTTAACCGAACCACCGGTCGAGAAGTCAAATCGCAGACGCAGGTTTTCCTGCCCAGCAAATGCCGACAAGTCGACGCGAGCCTGACGCCATCCGGTATTGTCGAACAGCGGCTGAACCCCTTCAGTACCAGCGACCCCGTCAGCACGAAGCGATTCGTCGATCGCAGCGTTGCTGAACTTTCCAAGATCACCAATCAAGTCGAATTCATCATCTGGGTTCGGACCCGTGTCGGATTGACGAAGCGTATTGTTGGTGGCCAGCAAGTGCCATTCACCATCGTCCCCGGCAATAAAGACACGCAGAGCATCGGTCGCTGGAGTATCTGGGATAGGCCCGTAGTTATAGTCGTTCCCGTCGGTCTGCAATTCGTAGTTGAAGTACAGAGTCGGCAGGTCACCGGCGTTGTAACCATAGAGGCTAAACGCATCGGTAATAACCGTACCATGAGCATCGCCAGGGAAGTCATAGTTGTTGGTGGTCTTGTTACCCGTTGCGTTATCCTGGGCAAACGTGTCCTCGGTGTTACCGAAGTACAAGCTCAGGCCACCGTTGGAAGCGGTACGCGAGTTGTCGATCGGCACGTTGATACCATGCCCAGCTTCGTTCTCGCCGATATCGTTGATGTTCCAAAGGTTCTCGTTCAACGTACCGAACTGGAGACCGCTGACCCCACTGATACCAGTGGAGATATTCGATCGGTTACCATGGAAGACAAACTGATCGGCACCGTTTCCATCGAACGCGTAGATATCGCCGCCAGATGTCACGCCGAACAGAACATCCGAGTAACCGGTGTTGCCGCCGGCACGCGAAGGCCCGGCTGACAAACTGGAGAACGTCAGAGGGTTACCAAGATCGTCGGTCAGCGTCGCGATGAAGTCAGCTTGGATTTCATCATTTACGACCTGGATCGAACCGTTTGGTGCAAGATTGAACAAACCACCGGTATTCGTAACCGCGTAGACATTGCTTCCAACCCAAGCAATACCGGTCACGAAACCACCACTGGCGTCGCCACCAACGGTGAATGGAGTATCAAACGCGGTGTCAACTTCGATTTCGGTATTCGTATCGAAGGTAACGACACTGCTGCTGGCACCACTTCCGGTATTCGACGCCGTTATCATCGCATTGGTCGCGGCATCGACAATCGCGTCACCAACATCAGCTCCGGAGAAACCAGCACCGATGTAGACGGCCTCGTTGCCCATTGCAACGCCCCGGGTCGCCGAGAACGCTGGGTCAAGCAATGCATCAAATGCATTTGCCTGCTGCAAGTAGCCCACAGAAGTTCCTGCTTCCAGGAAGTTGAATCGGCTACCGGAGGAACTGACCGACAAACCAGTCGTGCCGGTCGTCGCATTGGTAGCATTTCGGATAGCGTTGACGACCTCAGTGCTCGACATCGTTTCTTCGACGTCAACGATAATCACATTACCTGACGAAACCTGGTTGTAAGACCCCGCCACAGTGATTCCGCCAATATTACCTGTGGTCGAAATTCCAGTATCGCCCGTCAGCGTAATACGTCCATTGGCAGTTGCTGTTGCCGTAACTCCGAAATTAGTCGAATTGACATTAATCGCTGTCACCAGAGCGGACATGATCTCGTTTGGCGACGAACCAGAGTTGAATGGCACGCGAACTTGAGTTCCCGTAA